TCCCAGCTACTCGGGAGGCTGAGGCAGGAGAATCGCTTGAACCCAGGAGGCAGAGGTTGCAGTGAGCCGAGATCGTACCACTGCACTCCAGCCTGGGTGACAGTGTGAGACTCTGTCTCAAAAAAAAGTCTCCTCATGTTTTCAGAAGGAAAAAGTATGAATATATGTTATATTTATAACAAAGGATATAAATTTTATTATAAACATATAGTATATACAGTCATGCATTGCTTCATGACAGGGATACATTCTGAGAAATGTGTCATTAGGAGATTTTTGTCATTGTGTGAACATCACAGAGGGCACTTACAAAAACCTAGGTGGTATCGCCTGCGACACACCTAGGCTATCTCGTAGAACCTACTGCGCCTGGGCTACAGACCTGTAGAGCATGTGACTGTACTGAACACTGCAGGCAACTGTAACACATGGCATATGTATACCTAAATATTTCTAAACATGGAAAAGGTACAGTAAACATACAGTATTATCTATTGCTGTTATTTTTTGTTTGCTTGTTTTGAGACAGAGTCTCACTCTGTTACCCAGGCTGGAATGCAATGGTGCGATCTTGGCTCACAGCAATCTCTGTCTCCCTGCTTCAAGCAGTTATCCTCTCCCAGCCTCCCAAGTAGCTGGGATTACAGGTGTGCACCACTACGCCCAGCTAATTTTTTCTGTATTTCAGTAGAGATGGGGTTTTCACCATGTTGGCTGGGCTGGTTTTGAACTCCTGACCTCAGGTGATCCACCCGCCTCGGTCTCCCGAAAGGCTGGGATTACAGGCGTAAGCCACCACACTGGCCCAGTATTCTCTCTACTCTCATCTTCAATATACATGCATAGAATCACGTAAGTTTAATCATTTCTACAGATATTTAAATATTTAATTCTAAAGTTTCCAAAGTCTCAAAGGTTTTGCCTTGCACACTTTAAATGCACTGAAATAGCATGCACATAGTTAATGAACCAAAATATCATCGGAATCTAAAGGTTCCTCCTATCAGCACAGGGGAGGCAGACATTCCCAACGTGACTACACTGCAGGGAGCCTTTAGGGCGCAGCCTCTGTTCTTATTTACTGGATGGCAATTGAAGACTGGCTGGAGGCCTTCCTCAGCACAGGAAGGCATTTTTCATACCTGGTTTGGGCAAAGGGATAAATCGATGAGGGTGAGGTGAGGGGGCAGAATTGCCCAGGTGGGGAGAGTGGTGGCTCTGGAGAGGGTGGAGGGGCAAACAGTAGGAGCCGGGCTGAGCCCCCTGACCCTGTGTTCATTTGCAACACTCTGAGGAGTTCACCAGCCGGTGAGAGTAGAGGCGGAACTGCAGAGCCGTGAACTTAGGAAGGGGCATAACTTCCAAACCTAGCAGTGCTGATGAGCTAAAAGCAGTGCACCAGCCAGGAACAGTGGCTCACACCTGGAATCCCAGCACTTTGGGAGGCCAAGGCAGGAGGATCGCTTGAGCCCAGGAGTTTAAGACTGGCGTGGGCAACATTGCGAGATCCCATCTCTTCAAAAAATAAAAAATATTAGCCAGGCGTGGCTGGGCACGGTGGCTCACTCCTGTCATCCCAGCACTTTGGGAGACTG